ATTTTAAATTATTATACAAAATTATTAAGAAACCAAATTTATACATTCATTTCACAAATGTATTATTTGAATTGCTTTTTATTGCTTAATGTTTTTTTTTTCTAAATTTGACCCCTTGAAAACTGACCTTTTCCAAATTCTGTCCTCTCCAAAGTTGACCTGACCTCTAATATTGATTTTACAATTTTGTTTATAGCTTAATGTTTCTTTTTTTCAAATTTTGAACTTTTGAAAGTTGACCTGACCTCTAATATTGATTTTACGATAACTGTTATCAACAAAATTGGGTTATAAATTTGGTTTTTTCTAATTTCATTTTTAAATTCATCATTTTTTTTTCATTTTATGAAAAAAAAAATGAATAAATAAAAGCTATTTTGCAAATAATGCTTTTGTGATTATAAAAAAAAATTATTTGAAATTATTTTATCATAATTTCCCAATTTATTCTATTTCACTAATTTTGAGGATTACCACTAAAATATTATTAGAATGAAAATTCAATATATGTAAGCTGATTGCTTCAAAATATTATTTTCTTTCTTCTTTTTTTAACATCTAATCATTCAGTAATTGTAAGTTTCATTGATTAAAATATTAAAAAAAGATTAAATAAAGAGCACATTGCAATGTTTTGTATTTATCAAAGAAAAACGAAGAAACAAATTAATAAATAAATTTAGAAATCATCTTTTCCCGTTCTTCCATATCATTTATCATTACTAGCTTTGTTTATTTGTTTGTTACTTTTCCTCTCCGATAGCAAAATGTACTCTTTGTTTGCAAATCATCAAATTTTTATTTCTAAAATTATCGGTCCCTCGTCATCCATCTCTTTCTTCTCATCATCTTCCTTCTTCTCCTCATTTCTCCTTCTCACCACTTATCTATTTTACATTCTTTGTTTATGCTTAATCATTTTTCCACATTTCTTCCAATCATAAATTCGGCTGTAGCAATAAATTTAAGCATTATGAGATTAATTAAAAATAGCAAAAAGGTACTTACTAATATCATTAGATTGGTAAATCCAGGTCTCTTCATTATTTTGAATTTTGTTTTAAGTTTCTTTTTCGTTTTTTCTTTTTTTTTTTTTATTTTTTTGTCTAATATTTTATTTATTTTATATTTTTGTATATTTTTTATAGGTTTCTGCACGATTAACAAAATTTGTCGAATTTTCTATACTATACTAGATATTATTGTATTTTCAAGGTTAGAATTAAAGAATCAGCATTGTTTCTTTTGTCATTATTCATTTGACAATGATGATTTTCAAATTATTTACAACTTCATTAAAAATTTAAAATCTGAACTTCATTGGTAATATAAATTTATATTTATGAAATTTGATGTTAATAATATGACTAAATTGAAAAGCGAAATTCATTTTTGTATTAAAAATAATTTAGCATTGATTAAATTATACCATCTATGATTAAATAATTTTATTTATTGCTATTATTATTTTATCATTTTTGATTTGCATTTTAAAGTAATGTTTTTTTTTTTCGTAATTATCTAAATGAGGATATATATAATTTTATATCAAGTAAAAGATGAAATTTGTCAAAAGATAATCTGATAATATCAGCTGCTTTTTTCTTTTAATTTTACAATTTCATAGACAATTTATAATTATAAACTTTATTACTTAATATATGTTAAAAGATAATTGAATAATTTTTTGAATCATTTTTTCAAGGTTAGAATTGAAAATGTTTCTTTCATTGATAATACAACAATATGACAGATTGTTTTGTATTTTTGTTTTTCTTTTTCAATTGAGATTTTTCTCTGTAATTTTGTTTGGGAACTGTTTTTTGATTATAGTTTGGAGTTAGCATTATTTACTAATAATCATTCTTAAGCTATGTTGATAACATATTGATAAATTCAGAGAGTTTATTTACAAATAAGAAGTGAAGAGGAAAAAATAAATAAATAAATGATTTAAATGAATGGAATTGGATAAGCGCATGCAGTACTGATCAAATTGTTATCTGTTGATTCCAGAAAAAATTCACTAACAGTGAATATTAATTAACTATTAGGAAGAATAAAATTTATAATTTAGACAAAGTAGCTTATAAAAATTAACTTATAACTTAGAAAAAATAACGAGTAAGCAAAATAGTCGTAATGCTTTAGACTACAATTAAAACAAACTATAAATACATAAAAAATAGATAACTAACCTGCAAAAACATCAAACATATAACCAATAATAAAAATAAATAAATAAACCAACAGAAAAACTAAATAATAATAAAACTTTCAGAAAAAAAAAAAAAAAAACGAAAAAATTGGATTTAAGGACATTGAAAGGAAAACCATTAATATCTCTATGCTAGTAAAATTATAAAAGTAAAAGATAACTTTTTAAAAAATCGGTACCAGAATTATAAGAGTAATTAAAAATTTAGTGCCAACTGTAAAAGTAATTAAAGGACACAGCAAAATAGTAAAATATAAAACAAAAATTTTGTTAAACGAAAACATACCCAGTAATAACAAACATTTAAAAAGCTCTATAGAACAATAATTTAGATATATCTGCAATTAAAGTTTTAATAGACTATGATAATGATAATTAGAATAAATCAAGAGTTTAATAATATATCTCAAAAGAGATCATTTCTAGACCAAATACTGTTGTTTGTAAACTTTGTCAACAATTGGAACTGTCTAACCAGTTAACAAATCTCAAAAGAGATTAGATAAAAAAACAAAGAACTACTAACCTTGTTAAATTCAAATATAATTCATAGTTAATGCAAAAACTGACAAACAATAAAAGAAGTACAACTAAATAAAGATCTAATAATCTTGTAAACAATCTAAATTGGAAACAAATTTAAATACATTATTCATTGTTAACAGTGTAAACAAAGTTTTAGCTGCAATTGAAAAGTGAAATAAGATTGAAACATTTGAAAAAAAATAATTTTTTTGTTCAATTTTATACATTTTATTTCTACATATTGCAATTCAGTTCATTCAGTCTTTAATTTCAATTCAGTTTTTATAATTCAATTTTGCGAAAAATTATGTTAGCTTAATTTTACTGAATGTCTTTGCTTATTTTATTGTATAATTATAATTAGATTAAAATAAATTATTGAATAAATTTAACCTTTTTGTATAAGATGCGTCATTATTCATTACATTAAATCATCTTCTGTTTGAGATTATAAATTTAAAAATTATTCAATTCCATTCAAAATTTTCAATAACAACCAAAATATCAAAATATCCTCGTGAACATTTGCATATTTAACAAAAAAAAAAGTCCACAATATGTTTTAAAATTATTATCATGGCATATTGAAACTTCAACTACATATTATAGCGTTGATAAATAGAATTAAATCTGCAATTAGTCCAAAATTTACTTATATTGCTTTATAATGATATACAATTTCTTTTAATAATTTAATAATTAATATGAATGATATATAATTTTTTTAATAATTTAACAAAATTTTGAACTGTTTCAAAAAATTTTTCTACTCAACAGAAAAAAAAGTGAAGAAGAAAAAAAAAATTATCGTGAGTTGAACTTTTCAGTAAACTAATATAATTCAGAAACAATCATTACAGAAAGTAATATTTCATTTGCATTTTAACGATTGATATTAAAGATCATTGATCGAAGATAATATTTCCATTTTCGTTGCAACTACAATGAATTGATTATTTCTCTATGTGATTTTTAGGTGTGATAAACTGAGATCATAAAAAATTCAAAACTTTAATTAGTAATCAATTTATTACTTTTTTCTTTATTTCAATTAATAACTCTTTTCTTATTGATAAACATTCATTTTCTTTCAAATGATAAAACATCGATTGTTTGAATTATCTATCGCAGTGCAAATATTTTCAAAATATTCGACTAATTTAAAACAAAAATTTCAGATTATTTACTTTCCTGTATAAACTTATATATAATTTAGCAATGAAATTTTAGTAGAATTTTCTTGACCATTCAGAATTTTTCTTTTTGTTTAATGAACAAGAAAAAAAAAAAAAAAATCAATAGCAATTCGTCTTCACATTAATTATTGAAATGAATCAAAAAAGATTATAGTCTGCAGGATGATCTGTGTATAATATTTTACAAAAAGAATTTATTGACATATCAATGCCAAGAATTAATATTTTCAAATTTACTTAAATAACTATCAATCAAAATTTGTAATAAATAAGCAACAATTCTGGAATGAAAATCACTTTATCCTTTTTTAATGAATCGAATGATAATAATAAAATTTTCATTCAGCTTTTGTTTTATGATTATTGTGAAATTTTTATGTATATGTTAAATTTGATATTTATAATTAAGAAAATTGAACAAGAAATTGTTTTAGAGAGGAAATGAAATTACAACTTGAATTTGTTAGGAAAAAAAAACAAAGAGGCTAATGAATTTTTATTTATTTAATTCAATCAACATCCAACTAGCCAATAATTAGCCAACTAGCCAATCCCATAGCAGTTGGGGTGGGGACAAAGGACAATTTTCATTCGTCGTTGCATAATTTGCTCTAACAGTCTATTATGCATTGATTGATAAACATAATATTAAATACTTTTTAGTTAATCTTTGTTTTGTTTTTCAAAAATTATCGATCAATTGCTATTGTTTGTTGTTTTAATCCACAATTTTCATTACTTTCCTTTGCAAATTTAATTTAAAATGCTTTTTTTTTCTTTTTATGCAAAGTGAGAACTGGTTAGATCCGGTTATTTCCATGTAAAATATGCAGAGTGCGAACCGATTGGATCCGGTTGTTTCCATGTAAAAACCAGGATTTCTACCAGTATCAGTCCTTGTGCAAAACTTTATGATTCCATTATGGTGTAACAAATGAGTTGAAAAGACACCGCAATAGTTTTGCGATAGATGAATGGATACTTCAAACTTGAATAGTGTTGATCAATGAATGATGAAATGTATTTCGTTACGGTTGCAGGAATTCCAAGAAGTTAGGTTAATGAGTATGGAGAATGTACCATACCTATGCGGAATAATGTCTCCGGTGAGCGATTTGATTATTTTCAAGCTCTACCGCGAGAGACTATCCCGAACAGTTATAGTGTCGACATTAGTTTGGTATGGGATATCTCGCACAAGTGCAGTCGCTGCATCGGGTCTGTGATGTGAGCAACAACCAATCATACAACATATCACAGCCGATACAACTACCGCTCCTTGAGGAGTTTCCAGGTAATCCAGGACCAATCAAGAGACGGAAGAAGGTAATCATTTGGTAACTAAATGACTTCGATACCAAGATTGGCTACTTTTATAGGGAAATTTGAGGGCGTTGCCAAAAAATAGGCGCCATGTTATGTGACGTTTCCAGGAATTCCATTGGATCAGATCACATAGATCGATTAGTGGATCAATAGGAGGGGCAAACTTCTTAGCGTAAACATTTTTCTCAACCAAATCTCTTTTCAACAACCAATGAAAGTTCCAAATATTGGCGGCAATGTGACCAATATTTAAAGTTACCCAATTCGCCTAACTTTGAATTCAAGAAAAGAAAAAAAGATGCAATAACAAAATACTGTGCAATATATATGAGAATGTTTCAATCAGACATTAATAAATTTCTAATTTATTCTTGAGTAAAAATTTTATCCTCGAATTTTTTAAAATTTTAATTGACAAGGTTACTAAACAAGGTTAAAATTAAAGTTAAAATTGATATAGCAAAAAACAAAATATCATCCTGATTACTTTTATTTTGAAAGTAAAAAAAGCCCAAAGAGATAAATTGGCATTTTTTATTTTTAATGTATCGTCGCTGCCTTTGATGGAATCAAAATTGTATTATTTTTGTTCGCTCTTTGTATTAAAATCGTTTAATTTGCTTCATATGATAATTTAACAAAAAATATGACAAATGCAATTTTTTTTTAAATTTAACTATTGCTAGACACAAAGTTGAAGTTAAAATTGATATGTCAAAAAGGGATATCAATCTGATTGGTTTTAGTTTGGGAAGCAAAAAAGATCTGAAAAAAGTTAACCCAAAGTGATAAAAACATTGTAACAAATGCTAGTGAAAATTGCATGTTCAGTTTCAATATAATAAATCAAATAAGTAAATTTTAAACTTTGACATACCAATGTTTTTGATTAGAAATTCTACAACAATCCGGACACAAGCCGGATCAATCCAGATAACACTTTTATTTTTTATTTCTTCCATGTAAAAAAAAAAAAAAAAAAAAAAAAACGTAATTGTTTGTAGCATTACAGAAAAGAAAAAATAAATTAGTATTTGTAATTTGTAAAATATTGACTGTTACGACACAATGATTCTTCATCATCTTTATTAATCTAATTTATATCATAGCATTGTGAGGAAGGCTTTATCACAAATATGGCTAGAAGAGTCGAAGAAAGATTAAAATTATCATCAAAAATGATATAGAAGAGTTTTATCAGATGATAAACCAGTGATAAATTAACGCAATAATTGATATTGCTACTAAAGAGAATAGTAGTCCCAGTGTGCATTTCATAAATTTCAAGCGCAACTGTGGATTACTATCCTTTATCGTAGCAATTCATAGTATTTTAGGCCAAAGATTATGGAATTGGAATTGATAATCGGAATTGATAAAAATTTAAACATTAATTACTATTTGTTTCCCTAAAACAGACTTTCTTTTCCTCTCCCTCTCTCTCTCTCTTTTAAACGAATATTTTATGTATGCATTTAATTTAATCATAAACTAATTTAATTATAAAATTTATTAGCAGTAATTATATCATAATTATTATTTATTATATCACATCACCTATGTAATAAGCAAAAAAATCCAAAGAAGGGTGAAAGTTTCGGACTTTTTTCTAAAAGGGTAAAAATCTGGGTAAATCAGAGTACATGTAGAGGTTGCTGCATTGATACTATGATGATATATATGTATATATACATATGTAAATAGATCATAGTCGATAGAATTGCTATCAATAATATTTCTTTCTTTTCTTCTAAGCAAAAAAGAAAAAAAAGGAAAAATCACATCCATCGAGGTGAAATGGAGTAAGAACAATTGGTGGGGATAATAACCCGAAGAAAAGGAAAGGGAAGGGAAGGGAAGGGAAGGGAAGGGAAGGGAAAGGAAGGGAAGGGAAGAAGAGAAAAGAACTCTTAATGGATGATCGAACAAACGAATGAGTAAATGAATGATTTGACTATCAGAAATTACATGTTTTTATACAATAATTTAGGTAAAGATGATGAGAGAGAGGGAGAGAGAAAGAGAGGGAGAGAGAGAGAATAGGTGTTCATATGAGAAGGGGAAAAAGAAAACAGAAAAAAGTAAATAGAAAAAAAAAAAAGGGGCGCCTTTTTTTAATAACCGCCTCTCAATGAATTAAGTATATTTGGTATATGATAGTAAAGATAATAATGATTATTATTATCATTACTATAGTGATATTATTGTATTATCACTACTAATCATTATCATAAGCAAAATAACTATTCAAAAGACCGACACTCTTTACTATTTCATTGAAATAGTTTTGGTATACTGTAAATCATACAAAAACGCTTTTTGACTTTAACTCTTATTAAATGTAAAATGAATAAATTTCATTTTATTTTATTTTTCTCATCACTTCAATTCTTTCTTACTTCATTTTTTTTTCAATTGAAAAAGATTTAGTTATGTTTTTTTTTTTTTTTTTTTTTTTTGAGCTAAATTAACCATTTAACTTTTTTTTGCAATATTTTAATTTATATAATCGATGGAATAATTGAAATTTATGACCGATATATTTTCAGTTTGTAAACTATACAATTATATTTTCAATCTATGATAATTGATAAAAAATTTTTTTATAATAGAGAAACAAAAATATTAAGAATATTTGTAAATAATATTTTGAAAAATTTTGTAATTTCTTTTTTTTTTTTCTATTCTAATAATCTCTTTACTAATTATCTATAAAATGTAAATTGAAAATATTATTGCATTTTGAAGTAACCTTAAAAAAAGAAAAAATTTTTCATTCATGTCATTCATCGATTACTGAAATGAAATATTGAATGGCAAAAGAAATCAGAAAAGGAAGTAGTCAATTTAGATTACATTTAATTAATTATTGCAAATATATTATTAATTACGTCCATTTTTAATTGACTGCTGGAAAAATGATAACGAATTGACCAATTAATTTTAGTTTTTTTTTTTAATTATTTTTTTATCTAAATTAACTATTTCACTTTTTTCTCACCAATATTTCAATTCAGTTTTTGATGGAATGAGTGAAATTCTCTTCCACAATAATATTTACAAAATTTACATTTGTGATATTGATAAGAAATTTTGGAGTGTAAAAACAAAATATTAAAACTTCTATTGAATGATATTTTGGAAAAAATATATATATATATTAATAATTTTTGCTAAATTTCCCTAAAAAAAAAATAAATAAAACAATATTCAATAATCGATATTGTATCGTTCCGATTGGATATGTCTTTGTCAACAAATGCAAATCGATTAATAGTGACCCAGTTATTGAATATTTAAAAAAATAAAAATAAAAATCATATGATATGAAGTTAAAATGAAAAAAGGCTGAAGTGAAAATAGAATTGAGTAAGCGTAATTTTTAATAAACTTGATTAATTTCATATATTAAAGATCTATTTTTATTAAACAGATTTCTCTTCTTTTCTTTTTTTTTCTTTTTGGTAAAGTTAGATTAAAATTTACAATTGGTTAGATTTTTTGCTTATTTGTGAGTACTTAAAATTCTTTTAAAATAATTTTTCTTCTCATATTTCATTCAATAATTTAATTTCTTGTGTGCATTTTTGTCATTTTGATTTAATTTCACCTTTGTTTTAATTTCTGAACAAAATAATTTTCTTCCAATAAATTAATAATTTCAATTTTAGATTCATTAGAAATTTATGAATTAATAATTACTTGTAATTTTAATTTAATTAATGATTACTAGTATGCTTGCAATATTTATTTCTTTTTTTTTTAAACCTTAATTGTCATTTATGATACCTTTCATAATATGTTGCAGTAATTATTTCACATATGCACAATTCATGAAATAAAAATGATGTAACTTTAGAGAAATTAGCTAATAACAGAAAGCATTGAAAAGCTAACAGCTAATGTCATACTGTAGCACTACTAAATGTCATTATTTAATAGCTGATAAGCTTCATTTGCATTTTCATTCATTTTAAAAATAAATTCATTTTCAAAGTTTGTTCAAATTTGCAGTGCATAAAACAATCTCATACAATATATTAATAATACTTTGAACGCTATGAATTCTATAATATTTTGATTAATTGAACAATAAAACTTTTCATCCTTCTCCTTTATTTTAAATTAAATTTTTTTTGTCTTGTATTGTTGTTGCTTTTTAAATGTTATATTCATAGTTGGAAAATTATATATGAAAACATGAATTAGTGTGTATTGAACAAATTGATTTTAACGAACTGATTAATATCATAAATATTTATTGGCCAATATGAAATCCTACAAATACCAAAAAACGATGGCAAACGATGCAACTTACATTGCTGTTGCTATTTAAATTGTTTTTTCATAAATCACTAATTACTTTAAATTGATTTTTTTAATTGTACATAATTATATTATTAGGTGTTATATGATAGATATGATAAAACATTGTTCAAATATAGGATAATTTTTTTATTTACATTTAGGATAATTTTCAAGACTTTTCAGGGATATTTCAAGATTTCAGAAACATTCAAGATTTTTTATTTTATTTTTTGCATTCAGAATCTTTTGGGATATCAGTGAAACGATTTTCAATCTACTCGTTATTGTATGAAAATGAAGTCAAAGACGATGAACATTCAGCTTGAGGTTTCAAGAATTTGGGTAGATGAGACGGAAATGAACCGTACCTATGCGGAACAATGTCTCCGGTGAGCAAATTGATTTTCAAGCTCTACCGTGAGAGACTATCCCGAATAGCTACAGTTCGGCATTAGTAGTAGTTTGGCATGGGATATCTCGGGAGTAGCACAAGTGCAGTCGCTGCATCGGGTCTGTGATGTGAGCAACAACCAACCAGACAACATATCACAGACGATACAACTACCGCTCCTTGAGGAATTTCCAGGTAATTCAGGACCAATCAGGAAACGGAAGAAGGTAAAGAAGCATTTGGTAACTAAATGACTTCGATACCAAGATTGGCTACTTTTATAGGGAAATTTGAGGGCGTTGCCAAAAAATAGGCGCCATGTTATGTGACGTTTCCAGGAATTCATTGGATCAGATCTATCGGTTTGTGGATCACCGGGATAAATGAAGTGGGGCATTTAACGGTAAACAAAATTGTCTTTATCTCTGCTACAATCAATCTTATCTAATAGTGACCACTAGAGATAGAGTGACCAGTCCTCTAATTCTAACCATGTGGAACTCATTTCCTAAGTACCATTCATTCAATCATTCAAACCTCCCAATTACGTCAAACGAATAAAGAAATAACCAAAAAAAAAAAAAAATAATACTAATTCAACAATTTCACACATTTTATAGACAAAAGAATGAAATATTTAAATTTATTTGTATTGCAAATAGTTTGATGCAACCGTAAAATTAGTTAATTTTAGCAATTGACATCAAAATAATGTAACTTTATAAAAATTATTCGAATCAAAGCAAATGAAAAAATGAAAAATTCCTTTACAAAATGATTTAAAGGACTACTGTCTCCTCTGTGATAATATCATATCAGTTTTTTCTTAGAGTTCTGACAAATATGATTGAATAAAAGAAATAATTATTAGAAATTGAATACATTGAATCTCATACTTCCAACAAATTCTATCAGTGTATTTAATATTATCAGCAATGCAAATTCAAATTGGAAGAGTTAAAGTTATGCTATTTAAACAATATTATGTGCTTTCATATTTCCGAAAATAAACCAAATTGTTTTTCAATTTTTTGAAAGATTTCGAACATAATATGAACTCAAAATAATTAGTTAACGAGTAAATGAATTTAAATGTCAGATGTTTACAGTTAATATTCAGAATTTTATTGTCATTTATTCGTTTAAATATTTCGAAGGAATACATTTAGCTTCTCAAATGATTATAAGCATTGCAAAGCTTATTTATTATTTTAAAACAATTTAATAAACATAAAAAAAATTTTATCAAAAAGAATGAAAGAATTGAAAATATAAAACTTTTGGAACTATTTGTGATATAATCGTTTGAGTTTATCGCAATAACAAATAATTAACTTAGTAATAGCAAATAATTAGTAAAAAATATTAACGTAAACGTATTGCAAATAGCAAATAGTAAAAAAAATTGAAATAGCAAATTGTTTTCCTTTTTTTTTGTGATTGTTTTATTGAATGAAATGCATAAAATTTTAAATTATTATACAAAATTATTAAGAAACCAAATTTATACATTCATTTCACAAATGTATTATTTGAATTGCTTTTTATTGCTTAATGTTTTTTTTTCGAAATTTGACCTTTCAAAACTGACCTTTTCTGAATTCTGTCCTCTCTAAAGTTAACCTGACCTCTAATATTGATATACAATAATTTTTACAACAAAATTGAATTAAAAATCCTGTTTTTTCTATTTTCATTTTTTAAGCTAATCCTTTTTCTACATATTTTTTTAACATATTATTGCCTTTTTTTTTTCGTGAAATGATTTTTTTTAAGTGTCAAAAAACAAAAATAAATAATGTTTTGCAACTTTTATATAAAAAGAAGTGATTTGTAATTGTTTTTCCATAATTTTCTAATTTATTCTGATTTTGAGGATTACCGCTGCAATGGATATCATTTATCAATCACTTAATATTTTAATTAAATTCAAAAAAACAAAATAAAAAAAAATAATTCAACAATTTAATTAATTTTATAATCAGCACAATAAAATATTTAAACTAAATATTCAATGATATCATTGTAAATAGTTTTCGTGAAATTCTTAAAAATTTCTAATAAAAACAATCAAAAAGGAATGTCTATGTGATATCTAATCTAATATCATCCATTGTGATAACATGATATCATTAATTTTTTTTTTTTTTTGATCTAATGCATAATAAGTTAAAATTATTTGCTATTAAAAAAAAAGCAATAATAGCACTAATAATAATTATATGATCAACGATATTAATAACAAAATATTATTTAATAAATAATAAATGAAAAACAAAAATTACTTCATTTTTTAAATAATATTTTAAATTAGAAGCAATTATACATTAGTAACTTTACTTTTAAGTTTTTCTAATTCTAAATTTTATAAAAATTATAAAATTCCTGATAATATTAGATTTGAAATATTTTTTTATTTCATTTAACGATTGATTTTCTTTAGTATAATAATTAACGGACTAATTAATATCACTGTAAATTTTATAATATAATTTTATGAATTGCTTCAATGGAATATTGACAAAATAACAAATGTTTACTTGGATGAATAGCTTTAATATAATTTACAAATGTTTAAAAAAAAAGAAAATGAAATAATCAAATTTAAATGTTTATTGTTTATTTTGTAAAATAATATTTCCAGCAATAATTACAAGTAATAACTCATATTCAAAATAGAGTAATAATATTTTAAGTTTAAACATACTTAGCAAAAAGTGCTTTGAAATGTTGTCACAAATGTCCTCACCAATGATTTTCAAATTTTATATGATGTCTTATCTTTCAATTAATGCAGTCATTTCTGTAAATAAAAAATTTGTTTTCAATTGTTTTATTGATAAATAATTCAGTGTTTTTTCATCTTTCGATAATTAATGATATTAATTTATCATTTTAATATACTACAGCTTAGATCAAAAAAAACATTAGTGATATGAGATTAGTGATATGATGTTATCACAATGGATGATAATAGATTAGGTATCACATAAACATTCCGTTTTGATCGTTTTGGGTATTTATTAAGATCAGAAATTTGTTAAGAATTTTACGAAAACTATTTACAATGATATCATTAAATATTTCATTGTGTTGATTATAAAATTAATGAAATTGTTGAATTATTTCTTTTTTTATTTGTTTCACAGATGGTAAAATTATATAATTTTAACTTAAATAATTCTAACTTTTTTTCATCCTTTAATTTTAAGTATTATTTATTCTTCTGCATTTATCCATAGCATATTAAGTAAATTCCTGGTTACGGAAAATTGATTTGGTTGCATCAGTAAATTCAAGTAGATCAAAGTGATCTATTTTTCTTACAATAATCGATAATCATTAATACAGCTTTTTTAACTTGTAATTATTGTTGGAAGTATAACCATTTTTACTTTCTCAAAACAATTTCAAATTGCAACAATAGTAAACTAAAAAACTTTAAATTTCAAAGAAAAAACAAAAACAAAAACAAAAAAAGGACATCAAAAGTTGTGAATATTATTACAGGTTGGAAATTAAAGTCAGTTATTAAGTTCAAGTTATAAATAGTTTGGGTTAAAATCAAATTTTTCTATCTTGATTGTAAAACTTTAATATTACTGCTGCAGATAACTTTATTTATTTATTTTTTATTTTATTATTATTATTATTTTTTTTTTTTTTTTTGTTTCTGATTTATAACGGACAGGGAAAATCGGATAAAAAAGTGGAAAAAGGTTTTATTTGTTAAAATTTGCATAAAATACGAATCAAAAACGGTTACATTTTATATAATAATAAGTTATGTAATTATTGTAAAATTGTTTTAAATGTTTTTTGCAAATTACATTGTTCATTTTATTGAAAATCGATGGAACAAGATAGACACTTCAGTTAATTCTCTTTCATTTTATTTCAAACTGTCTCTCCTAATTTACAGGCACTAATTTCCTGATAGACATATTAATATTTAAATCGATAATTCAATTTTCTCTGTTTACTATGCAAAGTTAACAGTAGTGATATTGTTGATATTGTTGTCAAAGTGATAATAACTGATAATGAATTAAGAGATGAATATAATACGTTTTGATAATTTAATTTTAAATTGAATGGCTGATGGACAATCTTAACTATTTGATTATAATAATTTCGGCACTGTGAGTTCCAATTGATTCATTCACTCAACCTTAACTTTTTTAAGTCATTTATTTATTCTGAAAATACAGTTCCATGCCTTTATTACAAATCTAAATAATTTTAAATCCAAAATTTGAATAATGAGAATTTTGGAGAAATAAATAATATGTAATGAAGAATTGATATGTTCAAAGTTTCTTCTGTTTTACTATTTTTAGAATTTAACAAGAAAAAAAAATAGTAAATCCTCGAAAATTTTATGTTAATATTAAGAAATAATTATTGATTTCTTCCTCACTTTCAAATTATAATTTAATCATAATTGAAATTAGAATTTTAAATTGATTTTAAATGTACAAAAAAAAGAAAAAAAACTATTTGTAAGTGTTGATAAAAATTTCAATTTCACAGATTAATAAAATATTAAAAAGTATTTTCTTTTTTTTTTCTCTTTTTATTTTATCAAAAATATTTGTTACATTTGTCACCATAATACTTCACTTTTCTCTTCCTTTTTTTTATTCTTAATATCTTGATGCAGACAGTCAGAGTTGTTTACTGGTGTGCAAATGTCCTTCTGACCCTACCGCCAAAATATTGTTTACCGATTGGACACACCGCGGAATTATGTAATATGTAGAGATGGAGAATCTCCATGTGTCATATATTTTCCATAATCTTTTTTTTTTTTTTTTTCATTCCACTATATTCAATAATTATTTGATTAGAATAAGCAAATTGTTTTTTTTAAGTATTATACAGTGAACAAAACAAATACCACAAATATTACTTCTAATAATAATAATAAAATAAATAAAAAAATGCTTCTAGTAGTAATAATAATAATAATAATTTTTATAATAATAATTAACAATAATTTCAATAATAGTTGATAATAATAATAATAATAATAATAATAATAATAATAATAATAATAATAATAATAATAATAATAATAAACATTACTGCTACTGCAATCATTAATTAACATTGATCTTTTATAGAATCTTAAAATTTTCATATAATCTTAATTGAAATGAATTAATTAGCATTTAATCGATCAAAAAAAAAGGTAAATCAATGGATGAAAATAAGAAGTTAAAAAAATCAAAAATTCATATATATATAATTTACAATTTCATGTAAATAATTTTTTTTTCTCATTTAAACAAAAAGTAAAAGTAAAAAAAAATTCTTTTATTAATACCAATCTTTTGTAAAAAAAAGTAAAAAAAAATGTAAAAAAAAATATAAATAAAAAAAATGTAAAAAAAA